ATTCCTGCTTAAATGGGCTGTAATGGTTTAAAGCTTTTTGAACGCAACCTGTTGTGCTCCAACTTTTTCATGGACATTGAATATCCTCCAAGTTAAAGACCCGACTGTTAAAGGGTATTACAAGACAGTAGGTAAACTAACGATTTAACTCTTAGATTAAAAATGCAGCTAATGCTTTAATGTAATAGTTAAAGACAAAATTGGATGAAATATTTAAACGCATGATCCGAGGCACTCCTTTTAGTGACTTGCAAAGGGGTTTGGATCGGGCACTTTCCCCAAGGGCTGTGCCTTATTGCAACACTTCAGCTGGAGCAAAATGACTCCGTGCACCGTTGCTGGCAGGATTCGGCCCCTGGCCATTAGCATGGCTTCAATGCTTAATAGATACTAAGAAGAAATAATGGTATTGTTTCTATAGGGGTCGCACTGGAGGATCAGACCTCAGTTGTGCTAGGTGCTAGACTTGCTGGGGCTCTGCTAATCTGTTGTTGGCATTGCACGACATTTCTGAGCCCTCAACTATGTTTCTTTGGGAGCTGCTGCGCGCGCTGATGAAGTTTGCCCTTGTGCTTTCTTTGACTGTCACTAATAAGAGCTGCTGGCCTGAATCAGTGTCTTTGAGAATCATCGATTCACTAATTGCTGATAATCAAGTCCCTGCTCCCTCCTCGTGCTGAGAGCACTTGTGTTTCCTGCCGTGCTGCGCCGGGCTCGGCCAGAGCCGGACGTACCCAAGGCAAAGGGGGGTTTTGAGCTCTTGTGCTCATTCTCCGAGGTGCCCCAATTATTGGTGTTTGGGCTCGATTAAACAAGGGGCCCTTTTTACGCTGCTGACCTTTCCTGCCAAAATATGACAGCGAGGTCAAGGCTTGACAGTTGAGGTGGAGGGGGGGAGCTGGCGTGTTGAGTGTTAATGGAGACCCGTGACAACCCCAAATTCCTCGGCGTTCGACTCGAGTTAGTGCCACTTCAACCAGCGGAAATGACTCACGATGCAGGCAACAGGCTTTTATTACTATTATTTTTTTCATTTTAAGGACTTTGATCTTTTTATTTTTTGGTTGTTCTTGCCTGCTTTTGGATCGAGTTGGGGGAAAGCCCGTTTTGGGGGTTTCTTGCACTGAATTCCCAGTCCTCGAAACAAAACAGGGTCACTCAAAACCTCAGAGTCTTCCTTTTTAGGGGCTCGACCCCGATGGATGGCTGCTACGTTGGTGCTTCTCAATACATCGGGGTGGGCAAAATGCGGCCCGCGGGCCAGATGCGGCCCTGTAGCCCAGTCTATCCGGCCCGCGGGGCCCCTAAAAAATTTAGAAAATTAATATTTATCTGCCCTGACTGCCTGTCATGCAGCCCTTGATGGCTTGCCAAAACTCAGTAAGCGGCCCTCCGCCCAAAAAAATTGCCCGCCCCTGCAGTACATCCTGCCTTGCCAGCATGCACGCTCCATGCTGCTTCTCAACCTCCTACCCCTGTAAGGTGATGCATATCTAAAGGTCTCTGTACTCCTTCCCCCCCCCCTGATTTCCCAGCTCTAATGCTATCAGAGGACCCGTCTCCTTCCTCGGGTCCAAAATGTGCATTAGGAACGGAGACGTTTGTCTTGCCTGCTTCTCTAGTTGGACCCAGTCTTAGAAGAGCTGTGAGAGAGACCTGTGCAGAGGGGAGAGAGAGACTTTGACTTCCCTTAGTCTTTGTAGGAAGAGCCATCGTTGATCCTATACCAGGAAAGGAATTAGCGGAGGTGGTGGAGAGCAGGAAGAAACGGCTCTGAAATACCTTGTGCCCCGAGTGATGTGGATGGGGTCCCCGGTTTAAACCAGAGCTTGAGAATGGGGAAAGGCCCGAATCCTGTGCTTGGCTCTGCTGCTGAACGAATGCAAAGGCACATCTAGTGCACATTTCCCTGCCCCTCCGGCCGGTCGGAAAATGGGCACGTTGCCTACCCTGCTGAAGTGACGAAAGAGCTCGGCTAAAACATTCCTTAGAAGTGATTCCTGTTTGTCATCGGGCCCATCGCGATGGGAGCTGGTGTCAGCGCAGCAAGGGGACAGTCCGCCCTGGAAAACAGGGAAGGTGATTCACTCTTTGCCTAAACAGCAAGCTAACATAAAATAGCATTTAGACAGCAGCAAAAGGAAAGTAAACTTCTGCCGCCCTCCATCAAACTTGCATGTTTGCTTGGCAGCGGTTTGTTGCTAAGTGTACCCCATGGGTGTGCCCCCACATGCAGTGGCATGCGTTTGCCATGGCACAAATAGCAGCGGCACATATTTGTGCTGCTGCTTCGTGCCCCAGGAGCATGTCCCTGCCGCGCATGCACCAAACTGTCCTGGGTGGCATAGGAGAGGCTGGGGCCAGCACCTGTGCTGGCCCCAGGAGTCTTACCTGGCGGCCTCCCGGAGCAGCCACGGTGCCAATTTGGCTGCACAGAGCCTGGCTGGCACCCGGCTCCATTTCCGGAGGTGCATGCTGCTGCCACGTGGCCTCACTGCTCTTTGCAGTGGCTTTTTTTTTTGATACCAGGATATTTTGGCACCGCCCTGCAAATTAGCAGCGTGGCAAACAGTTGCACGCGCACCGTGTCTAGTTTGCAGTGCCTCAAACTGCACGTGCACGTTCATCTGGACGCGCCCCAGGTATAAATCCATGCGCTTGGGCGTGGAGGGAGGGGATCACTTGGAAATTGTACAACTGTGTGCTTTTTAAATGCACAAGGAAGACTATGGTTGTGCGGGTCTTGAAAACCTCCACACCATTGAACGCAAGTGTGTGCACGCGCACGTACACACGTGTACATGTTCCATTTATAGTCTCCAGTGCCAGGATCATCCTGGTGTCGGTTGTTAGCCACCACGCTGCTGGAAAACAAAGCCAAAGGGACAGAGGATCACTGGACAGCTTATGTTACATATTCTCTTTTGGGTTTACTGCTAGGACTCCTTGAGCTGGATCTGGTGCCAAAGTTTCCAGTCTGGCCCGTAATACTCCTGAGCGTCCTTTTAATTTTTTTCTCTTATTAATAGTCCTCTTACTGCGGTGGGTTCTCTTCTTGGCTCTGAATGGCTTGGGACCCCCCCCTACAAAGCTAGCACCAGGTGTGCTGTTATTCTTATTCCTTCTCGAGTCTCTGCAAACTTTTCTAGAGTGGCAATGGTTGGAGGACACAATGGGGAGGGCATTGCATGGCAAGTTGGCATTATTTTTTCCCCTGGGAGACTGGGGGGGCCGCACGCAACGCCAAATGGAAAAAAGAGGCCGTAGCAGAGAGGGTCTGCTCCACTGCAATAATACTGGTGGTGCTAATGGGTGGGGAGAGATGCAGGAGCCTTGGTTTTGAGCCCGCTGGTGAGAAACCATGGGATTCTCTGGCTGAAGGAGATTAGGGAGTCCTTTGCTGTAGGTCGTCATGGGTGGGAGTGGGTCGCTAAAGGGGGATGCTTATTTGAAGGGAGATGCGGGGAAAAAGTCACTCTTTTCAAGGGAACCTGGAAGGAAGAAAAAAAAAAAAAGGCAGTAAGGTATGGGGAGGCTTATTTTTCTGGGTGTGAGCAAGGGTGGTATTTCTGGCAGATCCAAATTTCACTTGGCCTTTATTTAATAGGCTCGGAGACAGGTTGCAGAGAAAAGAGATGGCAATCTGTAAAACTTCTGTAGGGGGCATGAACTGGGCGACTGTTTAATCACATCGCCTGTGAGATGGTGCCTGCAAGTGCGGGACATCAGCTGGCCCGGGGACCTGCGGAGATAACTAGCTCGTCTTTGCAGAAGCGCGGTGTGTTTTAATGAGGTTCAAGTTTCTGCTCCACGCTTTCTTTCTCCAGCCTTGCATGTAAGACGGTGCTGTGTAGGGGAAGCAGACCTCGTAAGCGTGAAGTATCTGGACTTTTTAGCCTTGGATGGCTGTTCTGGAATAAAACTTTATCACGGTTGTTCTCTCTCGTCTTCATAGGTAGGTAACTGGTCCCCCTTCCTATTCAGCCGGCTGCCAGCCCTTACGAGCGTTGTGCTATTTAAGGCGCATCTCGTGGAGTTGTGCGAATTCAACTCTCATTTATTTGAAAGAAAAAGAATCGCAGCGAAGAAAGGTGAACTTGAAGCTCAAAAACCAGGATTCAAATAAACCCCCTCGGAGGACTTGCTTTTAACAAATGCTCATGTTCATTTGGGCCTGACTCAAGCTTTTTGAGCACTTGTTGCTGATTATTGTATTTACCTTCACCTAGACCGATTCCCTTCACAATAACAGCGGTACTCTTGTGGTCTCTAAGGAGTCTGAACATTTATGCTGAGGAAAGTGTTTAATGTATTGTGAACCCTAAAGCAATGTAGTATCTGGAAAAATAATGGGGGAGAGGACAGCCCAGTCTCACCAGGCAGCTTTCTGCCAAATCCACAAAAGTGTGCTAGACCTCTTGCTTCAGACTGTACTGTGCTTTTTGTTTTTTTTTTTTTTTCCATTCACAGTTGTCTCCCCCAGATCTACGAGCTATTTTTATTTCGCTTAATGAAGACTTAACTGAAGGAAAACAAAATGCCACGGGTTGTGAAAGGGACTGTCTTTTTGACTTTCCCCCTTCTCCTGCAAACGCGCACAAGTATTGTCATTGTGCTCGTGTAAGACAGTGGATAGCGCTTAACAAGTCCTTTTGAAACTCTGTGATTAGAGACAAATTATGGAATGAAACCATGATGTTGCTGTCAGGCTCTCGAATGTCAGCCGAGCTGCCTGAAACCCAATACAGCTCTTGCATGTTAAAAAAAAAAAAAAAAAAAAAAAAAAAAAAAAAAAAAAAAAAAATGAAATAAAAGTCACCGAGCGGCATTATTTCGGATTTAGGTTATGTGTCTGTCACCATTATTTTTGTCTGCGCACCCCTGCGGTGGGATACGATCTTATTTATATTTCCCAGCGCAGGAGAGCAGATAGTTTAAACTGAGAATAGGTGACTGTAAAGATTATGATGCAGCTTTAGGGACGGTTGGTGAGATAAGGGGGCACAGATCCTTTCCTCTCCCGATGAAGAGTGGAGGAGCGGTGACTAAAAGTGGCTGCTCTTTGGTGGTCGGGTTGAAATGAGTGGTAGCTTGCAGTCTCATTTTTGGCTGAGCAAAGCCGCCACAAAAAGTGCATCCGGCAGAGAGGCCAGCGATTGAATGCAGGAGACTGGGGACTCTCGGTGAGGTCCCTTGGTGCGGGACGTGCCCGAGGCCCGCTGTCCCTCCTCCATGTATGAGAAAAAGGAATTTAGCTTCTAGGACCATTAGTGAAGCCTTCTCACCCACCGCTTTAATTTGTGCACTCGCTCTATTGAAATGCATCTTTCCAGTAGTAGAGTGGGACGCGGGTAAGTAAAATCCAAGTCCGCGGGGAAAACGATGCGCACTCCCCACCCCGATAAGCACAAACATACCGAATGCTGGAGCCATATCTAAATTCCTGTTTGTACAAGTGTACAACATGCATGATTGACACCGCCGAAAGAGAGAGAGATGAATTATAGCTTTTGGTCCCTGAACTGCTATTGCTTAGTGTATACTGGAAGAGCCTTCATACTAATGATGCTGAGCAATAAATAACGTGGAAAAGATTAATAGCTGCCTTTGGTAGCAAATTATAGTTGATTTATTGCACATAATATATACAGGTGCAGCTAATTTAATTAAATGCGGGACCTTTAATGCTGTAAAGACATCCCTCTCTCAAATCAAAACCACACTACAATACCATAATAAGGCTTTTAAGAGAAGTAAGCAATGTAATAGATATAAAACTTGACTTGGACTGATCAGATGTTAGCGTATGGGGGGGAGGATGGTGCATCTCTCTCTAACCATTAATGCCACTTTACGTCAACTTAGGCCGTAACAAAGTCCGATTTAATATCCTGATGCACGTTATCCTGATGCATTGCATAAGAGCAGCTTCAATAAAACAGCATGTGCAGCTCATTATTTTCTTGGCTACCGTAACTGCGCAGCGCAAGGAACCATTTGATTTAAAGGCGAGGATGGGGAGATCTCTACCCAGGGGTTACGAGCAAGCGTAAAGGGGTTACAACCATCCCGCCCTCTCCCAGTCCGGTAGTGGGTGCCCACATGCTGTGCGTGGTCCTAGACTGGGAAAGGCGGGCGGCATCTCAGCTGAGGAGCCCATGCCCCTAGAGAGCCATCAAGCGTGCAGTGCCAGATTCAACATGTAGTTTCATCACTTTTAGTGTCTGGCCTCTATCGCGGCCAATATCTGCCGCTTCACGAGGAAGCGAACTGAATCTCTCCTGCCCTGTCCCCTTAAGTGCCCTCCAGCAATTAGGCTGCATCCTGAAGCGTGAGGTTTGATTATCTTCGTTAATATGCAGAAGTGTAGTGCTTTTACTCATCTGCAGCTCCGATTGCGGCTGCTTTTTTGTGGTCCTTTTAATAGAGGACAGTGCTGCGAACAGGGGAGTTGCGAGCAAGGCGTCGGGAGGTGAGCGCGCAGGGTCATGGTGCACGCTGCGCCATTGGGTTGGTGCATAACCATCAGGCAGTCTTGTCTCTGCCTAGCCTGTAAGCTCGTTGGGGCAGGGATTTTCTTTTACCGTGCTTGTGTACGACTCCTAACATAATAAGGCCCTGATCTCAGCGGGGACCTTGCTGTAATACCACTGACAGATGAGTGCGAGCAAAGCCAGCGCGCGTGTTTCCTAAATTAAACAAGGAGAAAAATTCAAGTTTAATTAAAGTGCATCTATATAACCATTTTTAACATGGATTTATATTTTTTTTCCCCCCTCCCCGATTCTAATTTTCACATGAGCGGGCTGTCAGGATTTGGCAAGGATGCCCTGCAACGCAACCTTTTTGCAGCTCATCAGGATGCAGAGTTGAATCCTCTTACCTTCTTATAATGGGGAAGATGCTCTGTGATACTTCGCCGCCATTACTTGATTATTTGTGAAAGCATAAAAGGCTCAAGTAGCTGATTGATTAATTTTTCCCCAAGTTTTTCTTCCCTCTGTTGCCTTCATTTGGAATATGTAATCAGCGGAGGAAAATGTATTAGAAATAGATGGGTATGCATATGAATGCTTAATTTTTTCTAATTCAGGCATTCATGTGGGCACATGTACCCTGATGCATGCTGTGCTAAACAAATCTTTTCCAGCACTTAGAGCAGAGAGATGAGTTTGTTGGGATTTTTTTTTTTTTTTTTTCCTTTTAATACTTTGCTTTTTTTAAGGCTGGCTGAATCTCTCGTCTGAAGCTGCTCCCAGCCAAGCTGTTTTGGGGGGGCGTTTGTGTGAGATGGTGGCAGGGGGTGGTTTCAAAGCTTGGGCTTTACCAACAGAAATCAAATATCCACTTGACCTTTTTATTCCTAACACTGGGAAGAAGTCCAGCAACTCTTTTGTCATAAATCTTGCCTGTGTGTTTGCTTTGGTACAACACTTCAGTTAGTCACAGTTAGGGCTTCCGGTTTGG